AACCCCAGTACCTTCAAGCCATTGAGTTTTCACCACTGAGAAAAGATTCCCATTTAACAAGCAGCAGTGAGAAAATTGGTTAGCTACAGGCAGGAGAATTACTCTAAAGCTATCTCTCTCACCCTGTACTAAATTCAAATCAAAATAGATCTAAACCTAGATATAAAAATAGAGACGCTGAATCTGCTGGAAGATAAAATAGGTAAACCTCTTTAAAGACATATGCATAAGATTTTCTGAGCAGAATTCCAACTGCACAAGAAATAACACCAAGAATCAACAAATGGGACGTATCAAAATTTTAAAACTTCTGCACAGCAAAGGAAACAACCAACAGAATGAAGAGGCCACTTATAGAATGGGAAAAAAAAAATTGTTAATTACCCCTCAGATGGAGGACTAATGTCTAGGATTTATAAAGAACTAAAAAATACATACATAAATAAATAAATAAAAAATTAGGCCCTCTCAAATAAAAGACTCAATCAAAAACTGGTCAGTAAAATAAGCAGACATGTCTCAAAGGAAGTATGAGCTGGGTGTGGTGAAGCATGCCTATAATCCCAGCACTTTGGAGGCTGTGACGCAGAGAAGGATTGCCACAAGTTCAAGGCCAGCCTGGGACACATAGTGAGTTCAAGCCCAGTTCAACTACACAGCGAGACCCTGTCTAAAAAAAAAAAAAAAAAAAAGTATGAACAGCCAATAAGTTAAAAAAAAAAGTTCAGCATCTTTGGCTATTAAATGTAAATGAAAACAACACTGAGATTCCATCTTACTCCAGTAAGAAATGGCTACCACTAAGGACTTAAAACAACAAATGCCAGTGAGACTGTGGGGAAAAAAAGATCCCTTCTCCACTGTTGGAAATGTAAACCAGTGCAACCACCATGAAAATCAGCATGGAATTTCTGCAGGAAACTAAAAATGGAAATCCCATTTAACTCAGCTATTCCTCTGCTGGATGTCTTCCCAAAAGAGTTAAAGACATCACGTTACAGTGATACATGCACACCTATATTCAGAGCAGCACAGTTCACAATAGCTAAATTATGGAAGGATGGAAGTGGCCTATATGCTCATCAACAGATGAATGGATGAAGCAATGTGATCCATCTATCTACCTATCTATCTACCTCACTCATAAGGTAGGATAAATCTGAGTCATTTGTAGGAAAATGGATAATTTTTTTTTTCTCTTTTGTTTTTTGGAGACAGGATCTCACTATGCCATTCAGGCTGGCCTTGAGCTCACTTTGTAGCCCAGGCTGGTCTCGAACTCACAATGATTGCGAGTGCTGAGATTACAGGTGTGCACCACCTTGCCTGGCAAAAATGGATAGATCTTGAAATCACAATCGTAAGTGAAATAAACCAAACACAGAAGGTTAACTATTGCATGGTTTCTCTAATATGAGAGGCCCAAAATGTAAGTAATTAAAAAAATAAAAATAATGGAGATGGTAGGAAGCAGGGAGGCAGACTCTGGAGATGGAAGCGGGAAGGGGCGGCAGAGAGGGACAGTGAAAACAGTCAGTGTGAGACACGTAGGTGTCGCAATTCCCCCAGATGAATGTAATTATATTTTGTGAACATACACTAATTAAAAAAAATTAAAGCCAGGCACGATGGCACACACCTGTAATCTCAGCACTTGGGAGGCTGAGGCAGGAGGATCACTGTGAGTCTGAGGACAGCCTGGGCTACAAGTGAGTTCAAGGCCAGCCTGAACTACATAGTATCACCCTGCCTCAAAAAAACAAAATGAAACAAAAATGTAAAATTTTTGTGCTCTACTTCATACTAATTATGATAGCTATTACTGAAAAGCAAAAAAAAATGTTAGAGAGCATGTGAAGAACCCAAAACCCTTGTATACTACTGGTGGGAGTGTGAGATTGTGCAACCACTGTGGGAAATGATGTGGTGAGTCCTCAACACTTAGGGTGACTGTATGACATGGCAATCTACTTCTGGGTACCTCTCAACGAGATGAAAACAGGGGGTCAGATAGGAACTCATAGCAGCGTTACCCACACTGGCCAAATGGAGACTCGTGTCCACTGACGGATGGATGAATAGAATGCAATATAAAAATACAATGGAATACTATTCAGTCTTAAAAAGGAAGGGAATTCTGATACACGCTCCAATATGGATGAACCCTGGGGACATCATGCTGAGTAAAGTAAGTCAGTCACAAATGGACAAATATGATTGGTCTTATATGCAGATAGAGCAGTCAAATTTATGTCACAGAGACAACGTAGAATGGTGGACGCCAGAGATTGGGGGGTGGGGGACAACAAAACATGCAGTTAGTATGTAATGGGTACAGTGTTTCAGCGGGAAAAGGTGAAAAAGTTCTGGACGTGGATGTCCAGTGAAGGTAGTGATGATTTTACAGTACTGTGAATATACTTAATGCCTCAGGATCTACACTTACACATGTTTAAAATTACAAGTTTTATGTTATGTGTATTTTATCACAACCAACTTAAGACAATAAAAAAACTTACGTTTTTAAGGACAAAATAAAGTTAAAAAGATAACCCATAGGATCACAGAAACTATTTACAAACAATGTATCAGGCAAGACATTTATATGCAAACTATATAAAGAACTCATAACAACTAAAAACTCAACTTAAAACTGCATAAAAGTTTTGAAAAGGTATCACTCCCAAGAAAATACTACAATGGCCAGTAAGCATGTGGGAACAGTCACTATGGACTTGCAAGCCAGAACCATGGCGAGACACCACTTCACACACACTAGAGTTGCCACCATCAAGAAGAGAACTCTAAGTGTCGCTGATAACATGGAGAAATCACAACCCTCATGTGTTGCTGGTGGAAATGTACAACAGAAGAACCATTCTGGAAAACAGGCTGGTAGCTCTTCAAATGTTGAACAGTTACCACCATATGACCCACCACTTCTCAGGAAAACAGAAAGTGTACAGCCACACAAAAACTTGTACTGAAACGTTCACAGCAGCATTATGCATAGGAGCCAGAAAGTATAGTAACAACTCTCCAAATGACCAACAACTGATGTAGAAATGCAATGTCCATCTAATGAAACATTCAGCCACAAAACAAAATGTGAGAACCAGAACCTCGTTAGTTTTTCCACCTAATACCCTTCCCCATGGGTAACCACCTACAGTCACACTCCACACAATGACATATGGTCAACAACAGCTGCATATTCAATGGTGTGCATGTATCATAGCCTGCGGTGAAACTTTTGGTGAGGGGGCAAACTGCAACCCAAAACCCACTTATTTACTGCAAAGAGCCAACCCTGCAATTAAACCTAAACACTGAGGCTTCAGTTTGGAAAAAACAACTCATACATTAACGTCCTTTCTCTTAGAAACAACATACATGCTACAGGTTTGCCACCACTGGCCTACGTATACCGTACCTATATGATTTAGGTTTGTGTCAGCACACTTTGACGTTCACATGAAATGAAATCACTAAGGATGCACTTCTCAAAATGTATTATCATTCCTTTTTTATACAAATAAAAGCATTTTATACATACTGTTTGGCCTATACTTACTTCACATATCAACAAATTTTAGGTTTTCATCCATTTCAGTAAAAAGCTACCTCATTCTTTTTATAGCTACATGGTACTGTATTCCACTGTGTGGATATGCTAGCAATTTATTTAACCAGTATTTTGTATTTAATGAACATTTAGATTGGTTTCAAAACTTACTATTAAAAACAATGCTTCAAAAATAGCCTTGTGCATACGTCACTTCCACATGTGAAAATGTACCTGTAGGATTCACACCTGAAAGTGGAGCTGAGGGCTCAAAAGGTATAGATATTTGTAATGCTGATAAATTTGCCAATTACTTCCTTAGAAGTTACAGTGTCTTTAGTCCCACCCTGCCCACACTGCATGAGTGCCTGTGCCCTCACACCTTTGCCAACATGATATGCTTCATAAGTTTAGCTTTGCCTTAGGAAATTAACCAGGTTATATGCAAAAGGGGACAAGCATATTTACATTTAAAACTGGATGAATACAGCATATGCTCCTTGGATAAATTTAATTTTGACTGGGAGAAGAAATTTAAAGCTATATATCTCCATGCCACCTAGCAAAAAGTTCTCTCATTTCCTGTAGAGAAAGCGCATTCCATGTCTTCAGCTCTCGCACAAGCAGCCTTTGGCTGGGAAGGAAGAAGGGGTGAGGATCCCGGAAGAAAAACTGAGCCTGCAGCGTTGCCACTTGAAGCGGCTCCGTCTCCCTCAATTGGAAACGAGGTTCTGCACAAGTCGGTGAGGCCCCAACTGGAGACGACAGGTTGGGTCAGGGAAACCCATCGCCTGGTGAGGAGATGACAATGCTACCACAACAAGAAAGCCAGGGAGAACAACTCTGAAATGCAACCGGAGTCTCACTTGGCCCTTTTAGGGCCCATAAGCAAATATGCCTCCCCCGACCCTTGCTTCCTGTTCCCCTACCTACTTTACATCTGAGTATCCTCAAGTCTTCCAGCTGCAAACTACTAGTTCTGCCCAGATGTTTCTCTGTCTTTTGAAAAGGTAACTTTTTTGTTTGTTTGTTCCAGGGATGAATCCAAGGCCTCTGCACTGAGCTTTATCCACACCCCTTTTTAAAATTTGTTATTTTGAGACAGGGTTGCCTGGCTGGGCTCAAGCCTATAATCCTCCTGCCTCAGCCTCCCAGACTGCTGGAATTACAGGGGTGTGCCACCTTGCCTATATATAGCGCTTCCCAATACACTGGAAACTCACAGAGTAACTGCCAAGCTGTTGGTTTAGAATCCTCTTTCACTGCAGTTCTCACAGGCTTAGCTTAAGGTTGGTACTCAACTAACTTAGGCTGATGCATGGTGTGGCCATCCCCCATTACTCTGAGAACCGCCCCCCCCCCCCGGCCGCAGCATGCCAAGCCCCATGCCGTCCAGATGAATCTATACTGAGCCCATTACAGACAGACAGAATACCTGCAGGCATGTCTTCTACTGAGAGATGGTTTGCCTTCTGCACTAGCTCGTGTAAAAGTTTTTTCTGCCTCAACCTTTTTTCTCGTAGAACATTCTTGAAATTGTTGATGCACTTGTTGAGGTAAATGGTCTCTGCACACACTTGCTCTAGACTTAGTCTGCCTTGCTTGGGAGACTCAGGCCTGGAATAAGTCTCATTTCCCAGACACGAGGCCAGAGCTATGCTGGTCAATGAATACGTCAGAGGTGAGTTATGAGAAGCAAGAGAGAAGTTGCTTGGGTCTTGAGGGGTTTGGTCGCCTTGTACAGAGATGCCTAGTCCACCAGAAGCCATGCTGAGCAAGCTCTCACTCCCTTGGCTTCCAGGGCTCTCCACAGAGCAATCCTGGGCACCCCCCGAACTCACTGCCCCAAGAACTCTATCACTATTCTCTGACTGTGAACCACTTCCATCGCTTTCCAGGTCCTCAGGACTGATGCACCCACTGTTTTCCCGCTTCTGAAACACCCCCTGCAGAGCTGAACGAAAATGGTGAATTGCTCGGCCCAGTTTAGTTGTATGAAACTTGAGCTCCACGTCCTCATCCTCCTGCAAGCCACCCAGGACACAAGACGACTTGTCAAAGACATCCTTCAGGACCTGAGCAGCACATTCCTCCTCTTCATTCAGGTCAATATGAACCATATTACTGAACGTCTCAGGCCCTATGACCATTTCCTCCACCATGCTATCGGAGCTCAGGGCTGCAAACCTTCTAGACTCATCTGCCAAAAGGTCTTCTAGCTGCTTGGGACTCAGGATATCAAGCCCAGCTTCAAAGCCTAGAAGCCCATCTTCTGCATTCATTCCTTCTGTCTTCAGCAATCCAGGCAGTGACAGGCGGCTGCCAGCCTCACTCTCACTGTCGCCGTCAGTTCCTAGTTCTGCTACTTTACATGCTTCCAGTTCTCGGCTGTACCTTTTGAATACCTGGGCTTTCTCAGAATCTTCCTCTTTTGAGATTAACGCCAGGGAAGGTTCTTCAAGCTGATGGAGGGGAGAGAGAGAAGTGTTTCTCCCTGCTGACTTACCACCAGTGCCACTGATAACCGGGGATGTTTCTGATCTTCCTTTTACTTCAGCCCCTGGCTTAGACACGTCACTTTCCTTTGTCAAATTGTTCTCGAGTTGGAAGTGAGGACCCTGCTGCTCAGAAACCTGGTGCTCTCCATGCTGATTCTGAGCCATCATCTGATATGATCCTGTTATGAGTCCTCTGTCCCCTGTTTTCAGCTGAAAAATTGGTTTATCCTGGTTTAAAGAATTCCCACTATGCTTCTGAAGTTGCTGCAAAAATAATATAGACTCCTTTTGTGGACTCTTACAGCTCTGTGACCAGCTTGGTTCTTCTCTGGTGGCAACCTGGACACCCACACTCTGCAAGAGGACGGACTTCTGTAAGATAAAGTCTCTGTGCTCGAGATGCGCAAGCTTCACCACAGCAGGCCTGGGAGCAGGGCCCTTGCCTGCCCTATAAGCCTCTTTGATGTACCTGCTGCACTGTATGCCATTGACACAGAGATGTCTGGCTAAAAAGTTGTCCACCTGTTCCATAGTACTTTCCCCTTCCTGTTCAGGAAGTCCATACAGGCAAAGAATGGCTTCTTCACTGGGTCTTCCCACACAGGGTTCTGGAGCCTTTTCCCCCTCACATGCCTTGGTCAGGGAGCTGCTGCCCACATGCAAGCCTTCTATCTCACTCAGCACGGAGTCGACACAGCTTGACACTTCATCCACCGAGCCCCGGACCTGGCGCAAGTGCTGCTGCAGCTCAGCGATCTCGGTCTGGAGACGGCTGATGCCCTGTAGCTCTCTGATGATATATTCTACCACATCCCCTAAAGGCTCTCGCTGTTCACGGCTACAGCTCTGGCCAGAGCCTCTGGACACAAGGGACTTGGCTTGGCTCCTCTCTGAGGGCTCCTGACAGCTTGTGGTAACACTGGCAGATGAAAGGTCCTGAGAACCAGACTCTGAAACACTGCACGTGGAGCCCAGAGGAAGGTGGCTGTTGGCCTTCAGCCCAAAGCTGCAAAGCTGAACTGGCCCTCCATATTTATCTCCACCAGTGCCTGAGGCTGCTGACCCACAGCAAGGGAGCAGGGAGTTGTCTTCCGGTAAGGATCCAGCCGGGCCGGAGGACTTGTTTTCAATGCCACACACAGCTTCAGCCTTAACTCTCTCCGGAGAAAGCTTGGAGGAGGGTCCCAAGGTGACCATGATTTCTTCCTCTGACTCTTGCAACAACCGCTTCATTTTCTCCCTCAGGCTCTAGAAGGGTTGCTTCTCTGCTTCTGTCCCTTCGATACTGCCAGGGTGCTCAACAGAGCTTGCTTCGGGAGGCAACAGCCTGCACTGCTCTTTTCAGTCTTTCCAGTAAGTACTGCTGGATGATACCTTGGGCTTAGCCCACAGTGCTGCCTGGAATGGCCGTATGTGTGGCCTCCAAACCTGGCACATGCCCCTTGATCCTGGGTTGACTCTTCCTGTAACTAGTAAAAAAGGAAAATAGTGCACTCAGATCAGAAAGCACCAGATAACTTTAATCTAAATCAAGTGTCAAGCAAGAATAAGAACATTACCTTCTAAGACTGTAAGAATCAACCCTGACCTGCCTCCCAACCTTGGCCTTGAAGGCTGTAGGCAATCGGTTCTCTTTCTTTGGCTTTCCTTTAGAATGTGGGTGAATAAATCAAGTCTTTTGTGTTCTAGGCAAATACAAAAGGTGTCAGGTATCAGTATTGAGACAAAAAATTAGGAGGTGGATGAGATAAGATCAATGAGTGACTCTTTATTCAAATCTTCACAGAATTCAGCACTAGAGTATGGTTCAGAAATGAACAAATAAAAAGCTTAACTACCATGGTTCAAATCATACACACAGTGAAAGACAAGACATGGAATTCTTCCTCTCCATTTTCTTGTTCTGGTGCAGACTTAGATAATCACAGATTTATCCGTGCCTGTGCTCATCATACAAAGGGTTTCCCTTTGTTTACTTATAACAACGCTTTGCTTTGAAAAAAGGACCTGGGAAGTATGATAAATTTGGAAGAAAAAGGCATTTATGCCCACGCCCAAGATAAGGTGGTACAGTACAGGAACAGTCTCTGCCCAGAACTCAGGTGGTATTTAGCATGTTTGGATCCAGGAAGCAGGCGGCCAAAGGCACATGTGACGAACTACAACTGAGGATGGAAGGAGGCGGCTCAGGCTGAGCCTGGTGTTCTTAACCCCGCTTCACAGCCCCTAGCCCACACCAGCACCCATGGTCAGCTTTCCCGGCCCACTGTGGATCCTTCAGAGAACCGTGGCAAATGACTGCCAAGCGTTCTGTCACTGCTCAAGCAATGGAGGTTTGCTCGAGCCTCCTGTGATGTCAGAAGGGGTCTTCGCTGCTCTCCAAAAAGATGAACACAGAGCTGCTACCAGTCTTGCCTCTACCCACTAAGCCACCTGCAGAGGCAGGGTGGTAATTATCTTACGTGGAGTAGGCACCCATTCTCTTCACAGTAATGTCAAAAGTAAAGAGGAGGATGGTGCAGAGTACCAAGGGGCAAGCAGAGCTCTAGGAGACGCGTGGGACCGCAATGGGGCTACCCCACGACGGGTGACAGGCATTAGGGGGACATAGGCTACCTTTCGTGTTCTTTGACCAGAGGGAGTTTCCCCATTTTTCTAGATTTAGTCTAGACTTGTAAATCTTCTAAACTCTTGCTTCTTTTTATTTTCCTAGTACTTAAGTTAATCCTGAAGGGGTTGAAATTGCCTTAAAAAACAAAAGCTAAAACACAAGCTCATGGCAACCGTTTTCAGGAAAAGTCTTCATCTGTCGCTGTAGCCAAGGGCCTGAGGTTTAAAAGCACTGCGCTCTCCCTGACAAGGAAGAACCCGGAGGACCAGTCACAGAACCCGGGTCAAGGTGAAGCTGACTCACTTATTGAAAATAACTAGGTCAAGAACCAAGAGGCAGAAACTAGATGAATTTCCTTTTTGTGTCTCCCACTCTTCCCTCTAGCTCCTCTAAGAATTCTACTTTACCATGGAACCCTCCTCTAAAAACGTTTCCTGCCCTGCGAGGCGGGGAGAGGCCCAGTTCACCCACTACTGCTTGGCGTCAGGGACCTCAGGAGCCACTCACACTTCTACTCTGGCCACCACGTCCGGCCTGCAAGGTGTTCTCAAGTCCTGGGTCTTCGTCCTGGTACCCCGCTGTCTAGGGAGATCAACCTCTAGTTCTGAAATTAACTCAAATTCTTTCTTTTCTCCTCCCACAAGCACAAACTCTTTATTTCCAAAAATACTCCTCTCTCCCCCTACCCCCAAGCCATGTAAGGACTGTCTGCTCCTGTTTTGGTCTTGGCACGTGGTATTAGCCCTAAATTCCTGGCTCTGCAAGGGGGTAGACACACCAACTATCCTTTCCAGTTTGTCTGTCAAAAGAGAAAGATTACTTACTAAACAAAGATGGGAGGTCTCTGTATAAGCACATGAAGCCACGAGCAAGCACTACGCACTACTGGGCTTAGAATCGGCAGACATAAGCTTGGGTCTTACTTCACCAGAGACCCTGGAGTAAACTCTTGACCTCGCTGTACACTAGTTTCATCTGTAAAGTGTGTGTGGGTAATCACAGGGATATTACAAAGCTAAAATGAGAAACTGTATTTAGGACACTGTCAACTGCTACAGCGTTCTTGTTCTTGCTGACATGGCAAGTCCCTAAGTCAAAGAAACATGGAAACTAGTATCTAACCCAAGCATCCAATCACTTAAGTGGTATTTGAGTGAGCCATGACTTCTACCCCACACCAAACTGCCAGTCCCTTCTAATGGCTGCAGCTAGGCCTGAAACTCCAATAGAGTGTCATCCACTGTATTAGTCCTGCTTTCTCCTAGAAGTATTTTTTTAAAGTTGAGAGACAGAGACACAGACAGAGACACAGACAGAGACCGAGACAAAGACAAACCATCTGGCTCCCAACACTTCATTTAGGAGTCATGAGCTCTGTCATCTTCCTTTGGCAGCCTTTTCTCTTCAGCACTGAGGAGGCACAAATTCACTTACAGGTCCTCCAAGGCCAGCCCCCTTTTGGCCTAGAAATAGAAGTTTGCTGGGAACAAAAATGGAGCTAACTCTCCTGCTGCTGCTTCAGTACATACCAGGTTAACCTGACACCTGCCTGCTTCTCCCCCTTAGACCAACATTCCAGACAGACTTGGCCTAGCTTCCTGGACGGTGCTACCAGTGCCCCCTCCTAGCCTACAATGCCCATGACACTGGCTGGCTAGCCACAAAGAGGGCGAACGGCACACCCATATTCCTATGGCCTCCTAAAGAACTAAAGTGACTGGTTTCCTAGTCACTAACAAATAAGATCTGCCATTTAGAGCTGCCATAGCAACTTCTCTCAGCCCTCCAAAAAGATATTTGCTTCCACATTAATCAAACAAAATCCTCCAACCCTTCTTTTGAGTTGGTAGCCACTGCTCCTGCATGAATTCTGGAGTTAAGAATTATCTCCTAGAGATATAGATTCCCCAAAGTCACCAAACATAATAATCTAGTCTTCATGCTGCAAACTGTGGGACAGAGCTCTTGCTAAATTGCCTAGATTGGGCTTGACTTTGTGATCTTCCTGCCCCAGCCTCCCCCATGCTGCGATTACATGCAGGCACTACCATGCCCAGCTCCCAGCTTCTCTTTCTACTGTCCACAGACATGACACGACAGGGGCCTAACCTTAGAAGTCCACGTGACCTCCAAGTCAATTCTAGACTCCAGTGAGTATCTAAATGGTGTGGCAGGCAGTAAGTTTTGTGCCAGGGATTTAAGACAGTTTCCACTTTCTTTGTATGTTACAGTGTGAAGTCAGAGAGAGAGAGAGACATATACACAGTCACAACATATGACACACGTGATTATCCAAGTTGCAATAAAAAGTTGGAGCCCTGACTTCCACAGGATTGGAATGGGAAGGAGATAGATGCAAAGCTGGGCAGGTAAGGCCACAGAGAAGTAATGTTCCAACGGGAGGGGATAAAGAGGCTTGGAGGCCCCATCAACTCAAATCTAGTACCCTAATTTCCATCAAAGCATTGAGTGCATTGCCTTATCTTGGCCTGTTCATTCCGGTCAAATCTCCAAATTTCATGCTTGCAGTCAGAAATGCCCATTTGTTTCTATGCTGTCTGCTTAAGAACTAAAGCTGGAAAAAATAAGGTAGCCTTTCAAGAGGTATCTGCATCTGAAAAGAGAACACATCAAAACAAAACAAGTCAATCAAAAGGATTAAAGCTTTAATGCCAGAAGGCTGAAAGGTAAAGCCGGGAGCAGATCCTTCAAATCTCATTCATTAGTACCAGCCCTCCAAAACCAAGTCAAGAAAAAGACACCTTCACAGTTTTCTGAAGTGGCTAATTCATTCACTCCTCTCTTTGATTTGTCAAATAAACGTGAGTAGGAACGTGATTATTCCTTGCAAAAACTGCCTCTGACCCAAATCTTGGCTTGGAGGAAACCACCAAGGGACCTCTGGGAACAGGCCAGGATTCTCTGTACATAAATCAAGCAGCCTCTCAATTTGTGTGCAACAATATCAGCAGGCAATAAGCCAAGAGCTCTGATCCTCCCTCAGAGAGGACAGATAACTTGCAAGCCCATTATCAATAATGCTATATTCCAAATGTGGTGAGAGGAATGGATTTCTGGCATATAGCAGGTAGGGTTCTCTTAGGATGTTCGTCTTTGGGAAAGAATCAATGCCCACAGAGCATCTCATCAGAAGAGTGATCAGGGTACAAGGTAGGAAGAGCGAGATTAGCCAAGGGGAATAGAGAACACTCTAGATTGTGAGTTTAGCAGGGTCTCAGTATTGCAGTTCTTAGGACCTGCCATCCCTCTACATTCTACCTTGTAATCTAGCCTATGAAATTGTTTTGCTTGACTCTTACAATGTTTTTCAAATTCTGAATCTGAGAGTCTTTACGCAAGGCAGGAACTCCAGCTTTTCAAATGTCCAATTATTCAAGATTATAACCCTGGACCTACAATGACACTCGTTGCTGTCGTGGTCTGGCCCCAGGAGGCTCTTGCTCAAGGGCCCACAGTGGGTGTGAACTCTATTACACAGGAAACTGTGTTTAATATTTATTTTTAAATTCCTAAGTACCTAAGACAGGGGCTGGGACACTGTGAGAACTCAGTGACATGGAAAGAATAAAGGAGTTGATGGCTGAGTTGAATTAGAATATAAGTCTCCTGATTTCTGATCTACTTCTGTTTCCATGACAACATGATACCTTCAAGTTCTAGGTTTCCTTCTAGACTGGTCACTTATAAACCTTTTCCGTGTAAAACTAAGTTGGAAATCTCTCTTAATTATACTTAGAATTTTCAGGGAATTCACTCAGGACAAAAACCGCCGGACTGTCTATTAGTTAGTATCTGTCTCTCCTGCATATGAGACTGGCAAGGAGAGTCCCTGCCACAGTTCTTGTCGCCCAGAGGGCTGCTGTGATGGGGCTTCCATTTGCCCTTCTAGTAGGTAAAGCTGCGCTACAGCAGCAGTGTCCAACCAAAGTATAAAGTGAGCCACAAATATAATTTTAATTTCTTGGTAGCCACATAAAAAAGTAAAAATAATCACATGATAGTAATATTAGTATGTTTTATTTAGCCCAATACCCAAAATATTATTTCAATATGTAATAAAAAAAAATTAATATATTTCAATTCTTTTCAAACATTAAATCCTTCAAATCTCATATATATCTTATGTTTACACCATATCTTAAAGTAGCCCAACTGCATCTCAAGTACCCGACACAGTCTAATGTTACCAGTTACCAGCGGTTAGCATACTGGATGACAAAGACCTGTAAGTCTGGAGCACAGGACACCACTGAGAGCCGTTAGAACTTAGAAGGAGATGCTCACTGTAAAGAGCAGGCTGTCATCTCAGTGGCAGCAGAACACTCTGTTTCTTTCACTCATCTTTTTATCTGCTCACTTTGATCCTGGCTGGAAGCAGCACATTTCCATTTCGTGGTAGATTCAGTACTCCTTAAGGCTACAAAGTACCAAGTATCAAGGCTCTAACCTGCAGAGCACAAGACCTCCTCTCCCTCTCAGCCCAGCCCTTTCTTGATATTCTGTGGCTCTGCACAGCTAGTTTCTTCCCAATACTCTAGGCAAAACTACAGGATAAGCCTGGTTACTTCAACAGAGGCTGCCCCTTCACTTAAGGCTTGAAGACCTCGCAGAGACAGGACCACAATCTCAGTGCCGCTGGGTCAAAGATGTAGAAATAGTAAAAGACTGTACCTGTTTATAGAGTTTCCAGTTTACACCATTCTCACTTTATCATCACAACAACTCTATGAGGCAAGAGGAAAGATGCAGTGTGTTTTCACAGATGAGAAAAATGGCTAATTAGATCTGATTAAGCTCACTGAGGAAACCCAGGATTTAAAAGTGGTCTTCTATTTACAAAGTTAGCACTCTTTCACTACACATGCACAACACAGACAAATTATCTATATGCATGTGTGCACACATTCAGGGCTGAAAAACTCACGATGATTTCTCTGCTTATATGGCATATGCACAGGAAAGGGACGAACTGATACTACATTAGACAGGACACGACAGCACCTCTCTCATATACACACAGAGAAAGGATGGAAAGGTTTCCTGCATATACATGAGAACAGAAAGGTTACTTGAGTACATGAATAAGCACAGGAAAAGATAGGTGACCGCTATGTATGAATGCACACAGAGAAGAGATGGCTTATTCATATATAAGTTGTCCATAGGTAATGTACACACAGGAGAGGCACGGACAGGTGATTTATAAACACACACAGACACATCAAGAGGGAGAAACAGGTACCTGTACACAAGTATACACATGCGGAGAGGTGGGTGGGTTATTTGCATATGTACAGCACAGTATCAAGAGGAACGCATGGCCAGACTATTAGCACACAAACATGTACGTGTGAAGATTCTACCCTAGTGCTGAGTATACTATTTTTCACTCATTATCATGACCCCCACTCAGCAAGTTGGCTCAAGCAGTTATGTAATTAATGTGGCTGCTCCATATTCCACCCACAAATCTTTGCTTTTGTCCCTGCTTGTGGTTCAGAGTCAGTCACACACTCAACACCACTTACCTTATTGCTGCAACCAAAATAAGGGTTAAGGAATTGAAAAGAAAAAACAAAACACAACAATTAAAACCATGAATTCAAGTTTTGGAACGCAAGCACTGTCTGTAAGAGGAAATCCATCAGAAGCACTCCTTGGTTTGACAGAGAAGCCACAGGATGAACTTTCTGAGCCACAGTGCTGCCGCTTGCCCAACCAACAAAGCCAAGGGGCTATTATTCTCAGCTGCACCCAGCCGCTGGCTCCAAAGCACAAAGTTGACGATAGGAACAATGCCCGGCAGAGAAATCCCCTCAGTAAAGGTGGGTGGGTGTCTTGCCGGCTGCAAATCTAGGAATCCAATCTGGTCCACACCTCTCTGTCGAGAGGGTATTCTGACAACCTGCCTGCGGAAGGCAACAGCAGCCAAACTTCAGCTGGATGTGGAATTCTAAATCAATTCCGTGCTTTGAGACTAAGACGAAAGCAGGGCAGCTCCTGCTCCTGCTGCTGCTCCTCCTCCTCTCCAGCTGCTTCCTGCCTGCAACCTCCCATAGGGCACCAGCCCTCCTCACACGTTGCTGGTGCACACACCCCCTTCCCAGCACACTCACGCACACACAACCCTCGCCAGCAAGCTCACTCACACACCCTTGCTGAGCGTCTCTCCCTTTCGCTAAATATAGATCCTACTCCCTCCCCTCCCCCATTTCCTTCCTTCCTTCTTTCTTCCCCTGCCTACCCACCTCTGCCATGTCTGGGCTACAGAATATAGAAAGATGTAAGATGAGGTCCTACACTTTTAGGAGCTCCCAATCTCAGACGGAAATGTAAGAAATTGCTGGAGCACAATATAAACTGAATCTTCCCTTCTACTGAAACAAGCTGTAGGTTGTTGGTTGGGTTTCTAAGTATATAACCTGCTGTCAGCCTTTCGAGAAGGTGAAGACAGACAAAGTGCCCAAGTGCAGTTCACATCAAATGGTGCCATGTTTTTAGAGCACACATCTAGTCCAGTCCTTTTTGAAACCATAAAAAAAAAAAAAAAAAAAACAAGAATTCCTTGAGGTTATACCAAGGCACTGACTAGGAAGGATGGGAAGCAGGGTGAGCTGACAGGGACCCTCATCTGTAAATAAGGGGGGCAAAGACTGCTTTGGAACCCAGAATCTAGAGCTGAGTAATCTAAAGTGATACCATATTGTCCAAATACTGTCTAAGGTTTAGGGCCCTTTTCATGATCCTAATTTCCCAATCTTTGCCAGTGGCAGCCCTGTCTTCTGGAGGCTTTGCTAGCCATGTGGCTCTCAAATGGCCCAAATTCCTGATAACTCAACAATCCTAGTCAGGATTCATTGGAAAATTGAATGTCTCTGTTTTCAAAACACACTCAAGTTGTTCACCACAACCTAATAGCCAAGCATAAGCTAGAGACTTTTGAAGCTCTGGATCATAAAATGCCAAGTACATGAGATATGATAACCCTTTCCACTCTGCAACCACAGGTCAGAAGAAAAAAAAAAAAAAAAGAAAGAAACCAATATTGCTTTCTGACCTAGAGAGCCTCAGAATCCAGGCAAGCCAGTTCTGAGCTGACCTTCTTCCTTCGGCCAATGGTGGTAGGCAACTTTGATTCCCCCAGCATGCCCAAGCACATCTCTTCAAATTGTGTAAGTTTTGTAACATTCCTTGTAACGACCTAGTCCCTTTAGCCCAGGAATAGGGTAGTCAGACTATAAAGGCCACTTCAGATCTGCCGCTACAGAACAGGCTGTCCCATAGACAGTAGCACATAAAACAAACTTTTAATTTAACAATGATTTCCTTGGCTTATTCAGGATTCTGAGGAGAAAGAGCTGATTCCACAGCCAACATTTGCCTCCCTATTGGCTTCTTCCAATAACACTGCTTCCCCCTCAACCAAAGAAGAAAATTTAAACTCTGAGATGCTAAACAACCCATTTCTTAAGCATCCACCTCATTATGCAGCCAACACTAACAGCAGAGCAAATACCTCCTAACCCAGTTGGGAGCTGGCTGGATGACAGAAAGATAAGGGCTGACAGCACAACTAGAACCACATCTAAATACAGAGGAAAAAAATAACTTGAAAACTGTCAAATTTCAGTGGAAGCCACAGCCAATTTACTGTGGAGTTTCCCAGACGTGAGCCAGGAGACAGAGGTAAAGGGTTGATTAAAGCAGGATCCCTCCCCCAGGCCCAACTCTGCAGTCACTTATAAAGAGCACAGACGGGGGGCTGTGGTTACCAGGTTGGGGTCCAGGCATCCCACACTAAAGGAAGCCCACACTCGAGACTGCACAGATCTCCAGAGCCAGCACACTGCCCAGAACAGCTTCTTCTCCCCGCGCATCCATTGGTGGCTCCGGGGCCTGGGTGAGGCCTGAAACGGTATAAGGAAGGCCAGTGGGCCTGGCCTTGTCCCTCCGCCTACTACCTGCTCACAGCCCACTGTCTAAGCAGTTTGAGTTTTCCAGAAAAGCAAAGACTCAGACAGTAGATTGTATTTAGGAAGTGAAGCACAACAAACTTGCTACCTCTAGTTACAGTCTTTAACCTGCATAAGAGAGCTCTTAGGGATTTCACCACGAAATACCTCTGTATCTTATATCCTTCCCACATTCTGGCAAAAGCAAAAAGGAGAATAAATGGGAAAAGTGGTAAACAGCAGTCAGCAAAATCTCTGATAAAGAACGCAGAGCTCCTTCTGCCACCATCCTACAGGGTCCACAGCGTGACAGACATCACACGACCTCCTCAATGGACTGGGCTTTTGGGATAAGTTAGCCATTACGTTTCCTGAACCATGTGAGTAACAATACACTCCCCTTTGTCACAGTGGATCTGGCCCTGGGAATCCCACGCAGACTAAAAGGATGGGGTGTTTTCTTAAGTAAGAAATAGTAGTGCCCACCCCAGTTCAGAAACTTCCTCCAAGCAGGGCTGCAGGAGCTAGTGGGACAGGGCTAGAAGAACAGATTGGGTTAAGAAGGGAAAGGCATTTATCCAGAAGCTGTGAAATGCTCTGAACAGACATTCTCAAGGTCTGGTTCCCGATTTAAATCTTTGCAGGGCTCCTCGCCTAGAGACAGATGAGTCAAGATGGAAATTCAACGTGAGGCACTGACACTCACGCAACGCTGCAGGAACTCCAAAGGGGGCTGAACGGGTGGGTTAGTCAGAAGACCACCTGGCACACAAACTTTCACTTCAGCTGCTGAGCAACTGAGTGGTGTCACAGGGATACTGGAAGAGGGCCTCACCAATCACAACCTCCCCTCTTAGAGCCACTCTAAGTCTCCTTGAGGCTAGATACAACTAGTCTACTCCCAATCCAGCCTGCCTTCTTAACTGTCACTGCCAGAGACTGACAGGCTCAGGACCAGCAGCTGCCTGCCTTAACTTCCACGTTAACAACCACACATACAGGATGCAAAGGATGCGGAGACTGAGTCTGTCTTATACACGAGTCAGCTTTGACTATTTTCCTTCTTTACCATTAAGGAAAGCCAGAAGCAACATAATAAAGAGGCTGACATGCGGTCACATAGCTGGGATTTGTTTTGTACATGCAGAAATGGTTTATTCTGAGAGAAGTTTTTCCCCCTTCTATAGAATTACCCAACCCCCCCGAACTCAAAAACTATACAGACAGAATGACAGGCAATAGGAGATGATCTTCCTCCTTCCCTTAGGGATGTGCCACCCGAAGGGAAGGATGAACGTGGCAGGGATGTGCTAACCTTACTGATGTGCTAAGACATAGCTGCCACATAGCCTAAATTAGACCCGACAAGCTGTAAGGCAGGCCTACGGAATCACAAACTGCTGACAAATCTCAGTCCTACAATCATGTCAAGCACCATTTCTGATTAGCAAGAACTTGAGTATAAAAAGCCAATAAACAAACTCCTCAGGGCTGTTCAGCTAAACAGTTAAGTTTTCAGACTGCACCTCCAACAGTTAAGGGGCTATATCCATTTCAGGACTAAATGATTAAAAATTCTTCATCAAAGCAATCTACACACTTACTGCCATCTCATGTAACCCTGGTTGAAAGTCACAGCTTTCAGATTTAGGATAAATGGAGGTCCTGAACGAGTATCTGTCTATATATCCCCCAGGCCAATCCACCAATTGCATTAGTCTTGCCTCAATCTCTATACCCATGGGAAGCCAAAATGCCATATGCTGAGGATTCTTTATGGGAAACCCAAAATTTGAAAATTCATGGAGAATAGAACATCTTGTACCAAAAAGGAAATCAAATGGCATACTATTGATCCAATATCCTCTTTAGTTCTTTGTGACTTCTCCTGAGATGGGTCTGAAGATGAACCAGATCTGAAGTATTATCTTGATTTAGAGCCCTATTTCCTAAGGTTCTAGATAGGTTGCCTAGCCAGAATCTGAATCTCAATGAATGAGACTAAATGAAGGACCCCAAAGAGGAGAGTATTTTTCTGTAGGATTCTCCACATATTATAAATAATACCAGGTATGGAGCACCGAGTTATAGGAAGCTAGCTAATGCACAAAGGGGAAGACTGGGTTTGTGGGACCCAGCCTTATGAGGGTGTCTCTGAGAAGCATGGGAGGGAGAAAGGCAAACAATGAGATGAATCCAGACAGCAGCCATACACAGCTAGAAAGCAAAGAACACTAACAGTGAGCCTCCTCTCGGTGTTGGCATTGATGTTTCAAGCCCCAGGCTGCCAGTTTACTCCTATCAGAATCCTAGGCAGAGATGATTTCTCTCCACATATGCTAATTCTCCACCCAGTGACAGAATCTGCTGCAAAATCCTTTGTCCTTATGCCACAGTCACCAAGTCTGCGCAGTGTTACCTTCCTACTTACCAAATGTATCTCCTTCTCTCCAACCCTAACTCCAGGTTTCACTACTTCTCACTTGAACTACTGCAAAATACTCATTGCCCCTATCATCCTTCCTCCAAAAGCACCTCTCCTTACCCCTCCTTCCCCTGATCAACTCTATACAATTTCTAGAAAGATATTTCTAAACTACAAATACATTTTTGTCATTTGTTTTCTTAAAATCCTTCAGTTAGTGCAGCCAAGAAAAGTCCAAATTCCATAATATATTATCCAAGTTCTTTCTTAACCTGGGCACAGCGGGAAGACCCAGCTTCCAAATATTCTAAATTTGGCCAAAAGAAACCCCTTGTACTTCAACTGAACACACCACCCTATCCTTCTAATTTCCAGGTGATACTACCTAGGACAGTGGGGAAGGAAATTACAATGTTGTCAAGTACTTTGTCAGAAAACAAAACTTGGAACCAAAACACCAAAAGCCACTTTGGTACCAGTAATGGCTTGAACTGTAGAACAGGATGAATCTTTGGATCCCCCAGAAACACGTATGCTGCTATCTTAACCCTCAGCATGATGGGATCAGGAGGTGGAATCATTTGGAGTGATGAAGGCGTGAGGGCAGAGTTGCATGGACAGGATTAGCGTTGGCATAAATAGGTCCAAGGAAGCTCTCTCACCCCTTCTACCATATGAAATGCAGTGAGAAGGCACCAGCTGTGAACTAGAACACGGGCCCTC